TCAAGGATGCATGAAAAAACCACTACTAAATTAAATCAAAATTAAAATTAAACTTCCTTCACCTTTTAAAATTATGAGCATCTCTTTTATGCGATACCTTTTTATTATTCGTTTTTGCTGTGCAGCGCTACAGCGCTGTTATAGCGAGCAAGAATGCATATTGTCGAGAGATTTCTGTGTGTGTATGTGTGTGTGTGTGTTCGGAAGGGGATGAACTTTCCACCCACTTTTAACTCAGCAACCAGGAAAACTAGGATTCTGGAATTTTGGGTATATGTTTTTACCCCTTGTGTCACCCTCCCGTTTTGAGATTCCCCTCCCCCACACCCGCCTAGACGCCGCGTACGGACTCTCAAAAAATATGCAAGTTTTTTTGACGGGAAAGATTTTGGGAACCAGGCAAAATGGAAAACTGAAATATTCCATGTGGTTGTGTGAATTAAGATTTCAAATTTAGCCGTTACACACGCTTGTTCAGCGCGTACGGTCATGTTAAAGTTTGTAGCTGGAACTATGCTAACTCGAAAACTAGCTGGAAAACAGTGGCTGGAATTTTATCAGAATATTTATAGTCCATATGGAAAATGGCATACCTAAAATGAGTTCCGATTTGCACTTGCGCCATGACTTAGGACACTTCAAAGGTATTTATAACGAAGCGGCATTTCGCTTACCGAATAATGTGCGAGGCTGAAGCTTTGCTGGAATATTCTACTTTCCTGTATGGTCTTAATTCTACTTGGAATTGAAATTCTATGCAGGTGGGTATGAGAAACACTCACCTTTACTACTAACTCAAAAAAGAGTGCATTTTGCAGGCATCTTTTCCTACATCCAATTCACTTAGATATTTGGATTTTTTAACGAACGGCTGTTCTAGCAACTTTTCCACTTTTCACTGAAGAACTGAAACTAGATGTTGGGAGAGGATGAGGGCGGTTGTTCGCTGCAAAGTGCACTCGCTTCTGAATGAAGCCTACATAAAAAGCCGTGCAGAAATGCATGCTCGCACCTGCTAGCCTAGTGGTCCCATCTTGAATTTATTTCTTATATCAACATCACAACCGTCCTACCGACGAGGTCCAGTTGCAGTGCTGGATAGGAATGTTTACAACTTGATGGACCGAAACATTCCTGTTCATCAAATTTTTTAATATAATTTTATATCTTCCATACATATCGTAATTAATATCTGTATTATAACTACAGCTAGCACTGAGCGAGTGAACGCGATTTACGCTACTGCTTTGTAATAAGACAGCAGTGCCTGCAGTAATTTAAATATGAGGCAAATAAGGTTTACGGATTAAAAATTCAAAAGAACGTGTTATAAATGAGTGTAATGGCCAAAATTAAGTCGCACAACTTACTTTGGTGCCATTTTGATAAAGGCAATCGATAAGCAAAACCCCTGTCCAGTAGCACAGATAGGCGACACCGATAATCGCTGCAACCGTCCACCAGCCGCCAACCTTCAGTACAGATACTTTGTTGTTGAACGTCGGACACTGCCTACTACCAGCACGAAGTGGGCGGGCCACAATGAGCTCAAAATATTAAATACGCAACATACTTAAAGGGATTGAAAACAGGGCGCAAAATTTGTTTTTATTAAACGCTGTGCTCACAAAGATGCTATCCGAAGAGCAATAAAGCTTCCAGAAATAAGGCAGCAGCACCCTTTAAATAAACAAAAGAATGCAAAATTAAGCAAACGCTTTTGGACGAGAAAATTAGGCTCTTTTTGCTCTCTTCAACTGCTTACTTTCAGGCCAAAAAGCGTGCGTTCAATGTGCTGTTTATGCTGCAGAATTTTATTGGAGTTTTTTTAATAATTTCTGCGTTTGAGATTCAGAAACCATTGATTTCTAGACTTTCGAAAATTAGACACAGCGAAAAAGAACAAAATTTCAGCACCTTAACAGCGATTGGTAGGCCGACGATGAACATTCCTTGTATGGCATTGGTTACATTCCATGCAGCTTGCAGTGCGGTAATTCGCTGTCCTCCACTACCTTCATCAGCTTCAACTGCCGAAACTTCGCCTGAAGATTTTAAATGTCGAATTTCACAGCATTTGTCGCAACTGGAAAAAAATGCAGGCGCCAAAGGATCGGTAAGGACCTGCGTTTTTTGTGCGGTGAGTTGGAAAATTATCTATAAATGAAAGTGGAATATAACGTAACAACACGAGTCCTACAGGAAAAGTAAAATGT